CCTACTAATGGGTTTTAGGTCTCCACTCTGCACTCCCCCCATCATTCACTATGGTAAGATTTTTTGTTCTGATGATGCCTGATACCTAATCCTTCCTAATGCTTTTAAATGATCTTTATTTTAGTTTAATTAGGAAATGGATACAATGAGAAACGAACCTTCAGCACGTATAAATACAAGGAAAGATTTATTTTAAAAATAATGTCAAAAATTAATGTCTGTTGCTTTATAATGAAAAATAGTATATATTTCCCCAAGTTCAATCCAGGAATATTTGTTTGAAAACCCATGGAACAGTCCCATTGTGCATACAGTAACCATACATATGTGTACCACTGCTGCTGAGCAGCCAGTCACGGAACCCCTGGTCCAGTGAGCCATGTCAACTTCAATCAGCCTGATCAGGGAGACTTTGAGCCCTTCACCGTGCAAATGAGTCATATCCTAGTCACGTTAGTTGGTGTTCCTGAGTGGCTGCCCAGCTACTAATGGAAAGGTTGGCTGTTCAAATCCACTTAGATGGTCTGAGACGAATAGTCCCTTGAAAGAAAGCACTGGAGAGTTCCTTCTGAAATACGCAAAAGCTCACTGTCCTGCAGTCAGTCCCGACTCACAGTGACCTTATGAACTACCAGCGCCACTGAACACGCTCTGAAACTTGCAGTCGCCGTGAGTAGGAATCGAAAGGATGGCAGCTGTGACTGCATTTTGTTAGTCAAGGAGTCAGACCGGATCAGAGGAGCCCTGGTAGCCTAGTGGTTATGCATCGGGCTGCGATCCACATGGTTGGCAGTTCAAAACCACCGGCAGCTCTGTGGGAGAAAGACTGGGCTGTCTACTCACACTTACTGCCTCAGAAACCCACAGGGGGTGGGTCACTATGAGTCAGCATTGGCTGGATGGCAGAAAGTTTGGTTTGAATACAGACTCAAATTGAGGGAAAATGTAGATGTCCCAGGAAGCTTTCCAGCTTATATTTTGGGGATGGTGCTTTCAAATGAGGACATCGTTGTTATTGGATGGATTTTATAAGTCCATCAAATCCCGAGATGACCTCTTGGGCACCCTTAAGTCTTCATCATTGCTTTGTGAGAAAGTGTAATAACGGCGTGAATGATGAATCAGAAGAATTGGTAAATTGGGATGGGCGAGAGCAATATTGAGCAATACCTGGCCCCGGGCGGCCGTGGGATGATAGCTGGCCCAGACTTTCTTGGACCTGTTTTGCAAACCAGTGCCCTCTACATTATAAAGGAGGAGACACCCAGTTGTGTGATCTTTTGCTCCATAGCCCACTCCTTGTTATAGTGTGAGACTCATTCCTAGGCCCACCAGTGTTGTACTGGTCACCTTCATGGGGTCCCCTGGCAAATTTGGCTAAATTCAAAGACTGACCATTTGGTCCTTTTTTTGGCCTAATATTTTGTATGCTTCAGCTGTGATGGAGCTGTCTGCTGAGCAGTGAGTCAGATGGGATGCACACATGCAGCTTTTCAGTTATTAATTTGCTGCAGTTCCCTTTTCTGGCATACTTCTGAGAAGTGCTGATGACTACATTGAAATCTTTTTCTCTGCTAGCTAGGAGTTGAGGCTCATTTCAGCAAAAACACTTCCATCTTTTCTGATGTCCAGTAGGAAGACTTGACTCACAGATGATGTACTGAGTGAGCATAAGTAACTCCCCTTCCTTAGGCCGCCACCAAGTGTTGTAGCACATTCCTTTCTTGGTATAGCTGCCATTTGAGTACGTTCTCTGTGCCAGGCACCATGCACAGCCTCTGATATGTTTTAAAAGGAAACTTGAGGAAAGGGGAAAGACGCAGACGGAAGGCTTGATGGAATACCAGTGCATGTTAAACTGGACTTTCGCAGTTAAGAGGAGGAGACACGAAAATACAGATTATAGCATGTATTGGAGTTCTGTTGTCTCTTGATAATTTCCTGCTTCTGTGTATCTATCTCCTTGTTAAATAGGGAGACAGGGATAACACTAAGATCGTAGTTCTGTCTGACTTTATTGGCAGTGTGACTGTAGGTACCACCACTCCCTTAGTAGGTACTGGTTGGGCATATGCTTCATACCATCTCCTTTGCTAGTAATTGGGAATGCAGCAAGGCCTTTTAACCTCTCTGAGGCTCTATCTAACTACTGATTTGCAAAATGGCAATTAGAATACTTACTTCGATTGGACTGTTGGTGAGAGAATGAAATGAAGTAATATAAACTAGTGGTGCCTAGCCCTTGGTGGTGGTATGGTGTCAGTCCCTACTGAGCTGTCACCAGCTCATGATGACCCCCATGCACAGTGGTGGGACATGCTGCCAGATCCTCCTGTCCATAGATTTTTCCATAGAATTTTCATTGGCTCATATTTGTCAGTAGATTCCCAGGTGCCCACCACTCACCCCGCCCCCTGCAGCTTGTCTTAGTCTTTTGAAAACTCTGCTAAAACCAATTCCGCATCATAGTAACAGACAGGTGGTACTTGCTCATAAGGTGCGTGGACTGGGAATTGAATTTTAGACCCACACAGACGGCAAGAATTCACCTCTGAACCACCAGTGACCCATGCTGGTTCTTGGTTGGCCTCTAACAAATCGTAGTTATTGTTGCCGTTACTGTTTGTCACTCCCAAAGTAGTGAATTTTGTCAGTAAAAGAAGGAAGCCAAGAATGACTAGGTTAAAAGAAGATTAAGAAATAAGTAATAATACTGTGGTGAATAACTGGTCTGTTGCTAGGTTGTACAATGTTGGTAATAATTAAGAAGTATCTGGGGGGGGGCACTAGAACTGATTGTGATTAAATACTATTTTAAAAGCGAGTTAACCATGGAAGTACAGTATATGATATGCGAGTACCGTATCAAGAAAACCACAGGGAAAAGAAGCCAAACTTGACCAGTGATGGTCAGAGGTGAAGAGGAAAGGGTTGTCGCTCAGGGGCATTGAGTTTGTGTCAATGGTGGTAGAATAACTTG